ACAGTGAAGAAGCATGCAAAGCATAACTGAGTTAAGTTGATATAACAAAGACATTGGTCACTGAAGGTTTTCTGTAGCCAGATGCTTAATTTGATTTATTTTGTTTTTGTTTTATAAATGTATTACCCTAATTAGACATCAAAAAATGCATTTTGAAATTGAGTACCAGAGAATAATTCAAGGTTGATGATGAGTGTATTATGAACAGTTAAACTTCTTTGTTCAGACATTTTGAAAATATGTATCATTACACCTGATTTAAAAGTGTAAAAAAAGGAGGAGGACTCCAGGAAGTATTGACCAATCATTCTCACCTCCATGCCCAATAACAAAATGGAACATATTTTTCTGGAAGATATATTGAAATATATGAAAGATAGAGATATGATTAGAGACAGGCTTTAAACTAAGAGTAGATTTAGCTTTCACATAAATATGAAATTTTTTACAATACAGGTGGTGAGACAGTAAAGAAGCTGTAATTTCCAGATCACCAAAAGAGTTCAAAGTCAGGCTGGATAGGGCTTTGAGCAACTTGATCTAGTGAGTGATATTCCTGGCCATAGCAAATGGTTGAACTAGATGATCTTTAAAGGCTGTTTACAACTCAAACCATTCTGTCATTTTATATTATTCCTAAAAATTATATTTTTGTGTTGAAATAAGTTGAGGGATTTAATGAATTGCTGCCATTTTTACTATGATTCAATCTAACTGCTAAGTACTGTAAAACAGAGTCTTGCTATCACTGGGGGTAAAAGGAAATTAATATATTATCTTCTACAAGTAGAGAGTGGAATAAAGAATAATTGAAATTTGTGAAAAATAAACTATTAGAGCTGGTTAAAATTTATAGTTTATAAAATAATCTTTCCTAATAATGACTGAAGAAGTTACTGAGCAGCAAATAAAATATAACTTCTGACTACAAGAGGCAGAAAAGTAGAAGAATAATGGTCCCCTGATAATAATTTTGACATTGTTATTGTTGCAAATTAGGATTGAACTCGCTCTTCCTAGCACACCATTGCAGCTGTGCTATCAATCATTACACTTCTTACAAAGAGAATCAGTTTTTATAGTTTTAAAATTTTATTAAATCTTATGAGGGAATGCCTTGAAATTAATTCAATACTGTGGTTTCATAAAGATTAACAGTACATGTCCTTTTTGTGCTATGGCAAAAGAAGATAGACTCTGGCTCTGATTAAAACCATAGAAAGAACACATATATGTTTACAGACATAAAACAAAACTGGGCAGAATTTCCTAGTCTGATGTCATGGCTCAATTCATAGAACCATGGAATCAGAGAACGGTTTGTGTTGGAAAGGACCTGAAAGGCCATTTAGTTCCAACCCCACTGCTGTGGGCAGGGACGCCTTCAACTAGAACAGGTTGTTCAGTGACCCATCCAAACTGACCCTAAACACTTGCAAGGATGGTACATGCACAGCTTCTCTAGGCAACCTAGTCCAGTACTTCAGCATTCTTAAAGTAAAAATTTCTTCACTATATCTAATGTAAGCCTATTCTCTTTCAGTTTGAAGTCATTTTCCTTTGTTCTGTCACTACATGCCCTTGTCAATACTCTCCAACTTTCTTTTGGGCTGTTTTCAGGTACTGGAAAGCTGCTCTAAGGTCTTCCCAGAGCCTTGTCTTTTCCAAGCTGAACTTCCTCAACTTTCTCAGTCTGTCTTCCTAGCTCTCTCTAGCTCTCTGGTCATCTTCATGGCTTTCCTCTGGACTCATTCCAAGGTATCCATGTCCCTCTTATGCTGGTAGTCCCAGAGCTGAACACAGTACTCCATATGGAGAGTAAAGAGGAATAATCACCTCCCTTGACCTGTTAGTTAGGTTTCTTTTGATGCATCCCAAGATATGGTTGGATTTCTGGTCTGAAAACCTACATTACCTGGTCATGTTGAGTTTCTTTTTGAATCACACATCCAAGTCTTTCTCTGCAGAACTGTTCTCAATCAATTTTCTTCCCAGTTTGGGATTTGCGCTTGGGATTGCCCTGACCTACATGGAGGCTATTGCACTTGCCTTGTTGAACTTCATTAAGTTCATATAGGCTTGCCACTGAAGCCTGTCCAGGTCCCTCTGGATGGCATCCCTTCCTTCCATGTTGGTGAACAGATTTTGGGACTGTCAATAAATCTGTTGAGAGTGCACTCAATTTCACTGTCCATGTCAACAACATGGATATTTAACAGCACTGGCCCCAGTATGGGTCTCTGAGGAGCACCACTCATCACTACTCTCCGCTTGGACATTGAGATTTGACTGCAATTCTTTAAATGTGACCATACAGCCAATTCAAAATCCACCAAGCAGATATTCCATGTCTCTCCAGTTCACAGACAAGAATGTCATGCAGGACCGTGTCATATGCTATGCACTAGAGCAAGTAGATGCTATCAGTTGTTCTTCCCTTGTCCACCAAAACCTTCACCCTCCTGTACAAGGCCACTAACAATTTCAGACACTTCAGATATTTGTTGCAGACCAGCTTTTGTCTTATATATAGGCCTTTAAATAACACATTCTTTATATGTGAGAAGTCCTTCTCTTTAAGGGAAAAAAAAGTTGTCAGATGCCTTTGAGTGACAGATTCCTTCCCTATACCAATAGCAGTCCTTAAGTACTAGAGACATTGGTTCTATATAAGATATTTTTATCAGTGTTTGCACTAAATATTGAAACTTAAGCAGCGTATTTATATGTTGGAAAATGTTTAAATAGGTGACTCCCCTATAGAAAAGCAATTTACTTAAACACATATGGTATTATTGTTTTGTTCTGGGGGAAAAATTAGTACAGTAATTTGGATTTTGCAATTGAAGTTAAAATACTGTAAAGAAATTGAATTTCTGTTATGAATTTGTCTACATGTGCTGCCTCACGTCATGTGAGATGTGTGTCCTAAAAGTGCATCTCCTGAATCCCTAGCAAAAACTGTTCTTAGCAGTATCTTCCTTAATACTTGCCTCAGAACTTATATTAAATATATTTTCTATATAGTTCTATATACTTGCCTATACTATATACTTGCCTCAGAACTATGTGTTAAGTGAAGCTGAGGTAAAAATTGGGAGATAGATTCTGCCTTCTGGTATACTTGATATGGTTTCATTATTACTGTATGGGTCATCTACATGCCTCTGAGGAGATTTTACTCAATCAAGTAACTTCACACAATATTACAGGAAAAGAAAATTTCCAAAATTTCAGGTGCCAGAA